GTGATGTGCATGTGTATGTTTCTCTCACAGATATAAACAACTTTGCTTTTATTATTAGTAGTAGCATTTTTCTCTTTCCTTTATTGTACAGTGTGAATTATCTACACATTAATAGAAATGGACAGATTGGTTTTGGTTTAATTATTTCATTATTCCAAAGCTGGTATGAAAATCTATTTATCATATGTTTAGTCACAACTTCTATTCAGCTAAAACTATTTTTAAATAATGTACAATGCTGCATGTTTGTAATAATTACAACAAAAATAGCACATAACCTTTTCAGTATTATCATCTCACATTCTGTGTACTCCAGTCCTACTTAGCCAAATTTATTATTAGTGTTAATGAAGTATTGAAGTTTGCGTAACCCTGCATGAAACTGGATAGTTTCAGTTTATAGGGATTTGTTCAAATATTTTGTTTCTTACAACAATTTCACAACATCCATGTGCTTTACATTTTAGAAAGGGAAACAGTGGAAATTGCTGGGATTCATCTGGTTTAAGTAAAAATCCAAAAAAATCACCCTTGGTTTGGTCAAAACTGGGCTTAATTTGTCGCAAATGCTATCGAAGACCCATTGTCCCTTTCTATTGATATTGTTCTATTCTATTGATACTGCTGTAGGTGTGACTATTCAAAAAGATATGAGAAGAAGAGAAACTCAAGACTTTGCTGTAGGGGCAGATCCAAGATTTTGCAAAGGTTGGTGTGGGGGCAACAACTGGCATGGAAGGGGTAGCTGCATCCCCTGCTCCCAGGCTCCTCCTCCCGCTGGTGCAGACAGACCATGCACCAGGAGCATCTGAGGACTTTTTTAAAGTCCCAAAAGCAAGTAAGATTCCTCCCTTTCTCTTCTATTTTCAAAGACACAACCCCTTCCCTCCCCTTCATTGCCTCTTCCTTGCCTGCTGCTGCTTTGATCCCTGCTGTTCCGGGGCTGGGGTGTGGAGGTAGCTCCACAGCTACTGGTGTCCTCTCTGACTGGGCTGCACAGGGGCTGGGCTGAGCTTTGGACTGCAGCAGCAACAATAGAGGGGGGTTGCCCTCCCTGTGCCTGCTCCCAGAGGTCTAGGCAGGGTGGGGGATCCCACTGTCCTGCTGCCATTGCTGCCACTGTCCCCAGCTGAGCCCAGGTTGAGCCCTGCGCAGCCTGGTTAGAGAGGGTAGGACTAGTGCTGGAGCTTCCCTTATGCCCAGGACAGCAAGGAAAACAGCAGTGGCAGGTGTGGTAAAGAGGGGTAAAGTGTAAAGAAGAGGTAAAGGAGGGATGAGTAGGGGAGGGGACGTGCTTCTTAGCACAGAGGAGAAGAGAGTATTCGTATTTGCTTTGGAGACTTAAAAAAAAAATCCCCAGAGGCTCCTGTAGTACTGTCCAGTCTGAAAGGGAAGTGCACCCATGCTACTGCACCCCCATTGGATCTGTCCCTGCTTTGTTATGCATTTGTTAACTGATAATGTCTTAGCACAACCACTTATATCTTGTGGTGATAAATCATAAATATAAAATAGTAAGTACTACATAGTAAATTTAGCTTTGTTGCTCTTTTTGTCCTTAAATGAAGCCTTTTAACTCCCTGCTACAGAAAAATGAAGTAGGCAGATAGCCAAATCCTTAGAAGACTTCAGGGGACCATGCATGTTAGTCTAATGGAGATACCAGAGGAACATACTCATGTGTCTGATGGACTGTTTATCTGTATGTAAACTACAGATGCAGTCAACTAATCACTATCTGAAGATGTGGTACAGTGAAAAAGAATAACATAAGCCCAGCATTATGAAAAGAACCCTAGCATTGTAAGGGGAATTGTGTCAGAGCACAGGTTGTCCTGCCACTTCAAGAGGTTTCAGGCAGGCTCTGAGCACCTGGCAGGTATGGTTTGGCCCAGTTAAATGGTCACATGACCAAAAGGGGGCCACCATATTGGAGGAGGGCTGGGCAACCTCAGTGTAAGCCCAGGGCCTAAGAACAGAGTTGGCAGTTGTATCTAGGGAGCCAGAGGAGCAACATCACTCAGGCTGCAGCTCTCAGAACACCTGGAGGTCAGGGTAGGAACTATGGGGATGGAGGAGGTTCCTGCTGGTTCTGGGTAAGACCTGAAACTACACCCTGCTGGGGTTGGATGGTGTGGTGGGGCTGCCTGTGGTGGGGGAGGCCCCCGGGAAAGCCACACCCGTGG